ACATTGGCACAGGATAGAGCAGGGTTTAGGGCTCTTGTACATAGATAGGGTCACTATGAGTTGCAAGTGACTCAACAGTACCTAAAAACAGCAACAACAAAGAATTCAGCCATGCACCACAGTTTCTCAGGGATGTTGAGTTGCCAATGTCTGCAGTCCTCCACTGTTATTGTTAGGAATAGAGTGTGAAACTCCTGTAATAATAGTGCATTCTCCACACTGTGGCCTAGAGAGCTTCATCATTAATAAATCTGATCAAGTCATTGTCTTCTTTAAGAATTTCCATTGACTCCCTTTCTTCTAACCTGTACTGCTAATTGTGGGATCTGTGAACCACTTGCTGCAATTATCACTTGGAGACCATAGAAATGAAGTCTCAAGGGCCTCAAAGGTCAAGAGTCTCTAAGGATTAAGATTAAACCATTAACTAAAACGTTAGCAGTTTGACTCCACTCAGAGGTAACTTGAAAGCACATCCTGGAGATCTTTTGTCAAAAAATCACAGCCATTGAGAGAAATACAGATTCTCGGACCCCCACCACAAAACTACTGAATCAGAATCTACATTTTAAATAGTATCTTTGGGTGATTCTTGTGTATGTTAAAGCCTGGCATGAATTGGTAGAAAGTCCAGATTCTATGGCATAGTATTGGAAGATCTTCATGGCTTACCTTTTATGCTTTATTTTATTTTCTCAAACACTCTCTTCTGTGCCTTTACAGATTCCACCTCCTCTCTCTTTTGTTATTGTACCCTCATCGCGTTCGACTTTGCCTGAACCCTTATACTCATCATCTAGTAATTCTTCCTCAATTTTTCTAAATAGTGTTAGAGGATTTAACACTATGCTCTCCTAATCTCTTCTGTGTATCTTTTCATATAGCACTGAAAGTATTTGTTGCTAATAATTGTTGCAATAGTTATTCTCTCTCTCTCTCTCTCTCTCTTTCTCTCTCTCTCTCTCTCCCCTACTAGGCTTTGATCTGTTTGTCCTATCCAACAACTAGTTATTATATTCCAGACAATAAATAAGGAGTATGTATCTTATTTAGCTTTGTAACTTGAGCATCTAGCACAGTTGTTTTTGTTTTGTTTTGTTTTTATGGGTTAATATACTGCAGGAATGACTAGCACTGCTAGTTACACAGAAAGGAGGAAAGGGAGCTACATGTCAGCCACTGAGAAGGGTATTCTTGCTAACATGTTCCAGTTTAATCCTCAAAGATAACCTGGTATCTCTATTTTTTGCAATTGAATAAATTGGGACTTTAACAGTCATCTGAGCAGAAGTGTCTTTCACATTATTCAAAACATCTTTTAAAAATATTCTCTTTTCTTCCACAAATGACCTTGGTTCTTCATCATGGGAGTCTTTACAACACCCTCATAAAAATAAGCCTGCTACCCTAGTCAGATTTAGTCCTCCAGAAAGGAGTTGGCATAGATTACCATTTTAATGATGTCTGGGAGAAATAGTGACCTAGAATCCCAGAAAAGAACACTTCCTACTTCTGGCGGGCAGGGCACTTATAGCCCTTGTGTGCTTCTCTAACCAAGAGGTTTTAAATTAGCCAAGTACTTATTCCACTAAAAGTATAAGAGATAAAGAATGTGGGAAATGGTAACAATAGACTTGGGGCCACAGGGTCATCACAGCCTTCAATTTGCAAAGTACTGTCTACAAAGCATGATAAAACTTGGCAGGCCTATGTTATCATAGTGCTAGCCTGACCCTGTTGTTTCTGACAACTTCATGACAACCTGAGCGATTTGAATGGTGGCTTAGTTGTAAGAAGCTATGCTACAATCCCAAAGGCATACAGTTCAGATACACGAGCACTCCACAGGAGAAAGGTGGGCAATCTCCTCTTGTGGGATTTACTGTTTCTGAAAGCCCACTGGAGGGTCAGCTGTGGGCCAGTTCAGACTCGATGGCACACAACAATAAGCTTAAATACAGCAGAGACTGTGAGATGGCACAGGTTCAGGCAGGATTCTATTCTGTTGTTCACAGGGTTGCTATGAATCTTAGCCTGTTTAAGGGCATATAACAGTGAGTCATTTGAGCAGGTGAGCATCTCTGTGCAGAAATGTGTACTCACTGAAGGGTCAGGCAGGGCTCAAAAGGCCCAGCCACTGCTATGCCTGAATAGGGACAACTGCTGCTCATCACCCACAATTGCAGCAGTTTGGAATTGTAGGCCTCCCAATATTAAATCTAATGACTTTTAAAACAAAGACCATTTTTTTTACATTAAAAAATTAGCATCGTGAAAATTGGACAAAACACATCAGCGTAGAGCTTGGAGTTTTCCAGTCAAACGAAGTAATCAGTCATAACAAGAGAAATAATACACGACTTGTATTAAAACAAAACAAAACCCCATAGACACAAATATATAAAGAGCAAAGTTTATCAGTGCTTACCAGCGGTAGGAGAGGGAACTCGTGGACTAGAGGAAAGAAGTTGCTCTGTCAGGCCAAAGGCAACCAGTTCACATCTACTAGATGCTCTGAGGGAGAAAGATAGGTAATCTCCTGTAAGATTTTCAGACTTTGAAAATATGCAGGAGGGTCAGCCACATCTAGCTAAAATGAGAAGGAGTGGCACTAAAGGGAAGTTAACAGTGATGGGAAATAGTATTGATTAAGAGTTGGTTTACACAGCTGATTATTTTAATGGCTGATGAGAATGTATATACTGTAAAAAAGTGAATTGGCAAAAGCTGGGCAAAATTTACCACAAAGACTGAGGCTGCTTGTGTACAACTAAACATAAATGCCCTGTGAGATTTGGTGGTTCGGTTTGAAGGTTGAGGGTCATAGTTTCATGAGGTATTGTGGTGAATTGGCCTACTAGCATGCTCAGAGCTACCTCTTAGAAAAATACTGGAGTCTTTTTTAATATTTTAATTAAAGTTTACAGAGAGTGACTCTGTGTATTCTTTCCTTCTTTTTGATGTTTCCTGGAACATTCGATATAATTCTTATAGTACATACTTTGGACATGTTGTGAGGAGAGACCGGTCCTTAGAGAGGGACATCATGCTTGGGAGGGTGGAGGGATGGCGCAGGAGAGGAAGGCCCTCTATGAGGTGGATTGATTCAGTGACTGGGGTAATTGGGATGGGAGTGTCGGAGACAGTGCGATTGGCACAGGACAGAGCGGAGTTTAGGGCTGTTGTACATAGGGTCGTTATGAGTCGCAGGTGACTCGACAGCACATAACAACAACAAACACAACCTCTCAGCATTGCAGTTAGTGGCTTGAGTTTGTTTTTCAGTTTTTTTCAACTTTAGAGTTACTGAGCAAATTCTTCCCTTTTTATTCTCTGACTCTCTTTGCACATTCCGTTATAACCTTTTACTTAGTCTTCTCAAGCTGCCCTTTAAAGTCTTCTGTGCATCTTTTTGTTTTGGTTTTTCAATGCTGTAGTATAATTTTCAAAGTCTCTTCTGACATCCATTTTTCTCTGAAGTGCTGCTGATGGAGTAGAATCAACAGAGAAGTGTATGCCATATGGGGTTTAAATTGAGAGTATATTTTGGTTTTAGGATCTTTCCCCCAACAATTTATAGACTTGTTGGCATAGCCCACAGGAAGGAAGTCAAGCTACTAAACCATGGGCCATGCTTCTTTGTTCCACTCCATCAGCAGCAGGTTAGTAGGAGAAAGGTGAGCAATCTCCCGTGTGATTTACAGCCTCAGAAACCCAATGGAGGATCAGCTATGAATTGATTCTGATGTGATGGCTATGAGTTTGGGTGGGAGGCCTTATAACTACATTATCATTTATTGTGGCAGTGATAGTTGTGAGACTCACGACAACACTGTGTATCAGAGTGGAACTGTGGTTTCCAGAGGTCAATATTTTGGAAATAGATCACCATACCTTTTTTCCAGGGTACCTTAACTGTAGTGAAGGGCACCTTCTCCCAGGTAGCTAGCTCTGCTTCCCTAGCAGGCTTGTTATATTTGCACATAATGGGCAGTGATTCATTCTGAATTTTTTACACTGGACCCTTTAAGCAGAGTGAGCCATTTTTATTTTATCTATGATTGCACCCATTCCTCTTGATACTCTCCTTTTGGTGTTTGTTCCTAGATGCACTAGATATATTGTTTTGCTTTTCTTTCTTAAGAAACATAATTTAAAATTAAAAGAATGTTAATCAGGCTAAAAGAAAAGAAAATGAGGATTTGGGGGCCTCCACTGACAAAAGAACAAGAGGTCCTATGTGTTTTTGGCAATGTTCAACCCAAACTTACCCAACATTTTCTTTTGCATTTACATTTCATACCCACCTGCATTTTTATTCAAAAAAGGTCTCTTTACACTATGTGCACTCATGTTAGTTTGTAGGTTTTCAAAATCTGTGATTCTCAGAGAAATGATCCTTACTGCTTTAAACCTCAAATCTTTGCTTCTCAAGCTGCAAAGCCCATGCAAATCATGTGAATCTTATTCAGATGCAAATTTGGAATGGATGAGGCCTAAGATTCTGCATTTTAAAGGTCAAAAAGGAAATGATCATAATGTTAAATTTGTGTATGCACTTAAAGAGTATTTTTTCAGTTCTTGAACCATGAAAAAAAGTATGGTTTGCAAGCCAGACTAGAGCTCTGAAGGACGGTACAAAGCTGCACAGTTCTCATAATCAGACACGCTGCGGGAGACGGCTGTCCTGGGCACATCTACTGTACTGGCAAATCTTTTTTTTAAAATTTGAAAGTATTAGAAACTTTTGAATTAGGTTAAAATAAGCATGCATGCCCTGATTGGTTAGCTTTGCTTTCCATTCCCCAGAGAGCCGTTGCTTGACTTAGAATTAGCCTCCTGAGGAAGGTAAACATTTTTTAGGAATAGATATTTGGGTTTTGGTTTGCTGCTGTGGAACTTAGCACAAATTACTCCATTACTGAATTTAGTATTATCCAGTTAGCAATAGACTTGGGGGTCCCAAGACATTAATATTTTTTTTTATCCTTGTCTTTTAGAGAGATCAACTTATCAGTAATTGGTCAATATGTGGACTATCTTGTGGAAGAGCAAGGAGTGAAGAGCATTTTTGGTAAGTCATCAGGGATTTCTCTCTAGCTCAGTCATCCTTAGAGTCTGCACCTAATTACTCTTTAAGAAATCACAGCAATACTTGTGGTTATGATTGAACCTAGGGAGCCAGCTCTGATTGGTGAATTTATAGACTCAACAGTTTTAGACCTACAGAGCACCCAAAGATGATCTAATTGCTGGTCTGCTTTCAAAACAGCAAATGTTTTATTTATTCTCATTTAAAGATGACGATTTGTGCTTCAGATATTTTTTTGGAGTTGCCCAAGTTTGTTCACCTATGAATAACATCTAAACCTCGAATTTCCATCTCTTAAAATCTTTATTCCATCTGCAGCTTACCTTTGAAATTGCTCCTGGCAATAAGAGTGAAAATCTGACACCTTCTATTCCTTGGACAAGCATAACACGCTTGGAAAAATGGGAGGGATTGTGAAGGAGAGGAAGATCTTCAAACAGGTGCATTAACACAGTGACAGCAGCAGTGGGCTCAAGTGTGTCAGAGACTGTGAGGTTGGCATAGGATAGGACAGGGTTCAGGTCTGTTGTCTGTAGATTCCCTGTGAGTAGTACTTGACTCCAAGGCCCTAACAACATTGGCCCTGGCCAGCTGGGTTGGTGGTCAGCATGCACCAGTTGGCTCCATGGCCTGATACTTGAATTCATTTCCTGGTTCTTCTGGCCCTCATCACAATCTTCCTTGTTCTTTCTTTTTTTTCCCCCCTTGTTCTTTCTAAGACTCCTATCAAAGGAGGCATGCTTTGATTCAGTACATCATGTAAAGAAGAAAACTAAATGGAAAAATAGGAAAGTATGATTCAGAGCAAACCTAGCAGTAATTCAGTTGAAGTTAAAAATCGTTTGCTTCAGTGAGGTCATGTTTGATACAAGATCAGAAGATCTTATGGGTGTGAGTTTCAGCTACACATTTCTGGGTGGAGAGGCAAATAGTCAAAAAATTTCAACTTGATGAGGAAGCCTTCCTCAAAATTGTCCTTTCAGACAAACAGGATAAAGGACTCCAACCTGATAAAGGGAGATCTCTTTTTATTGCCCTAAACGAAAAGGATATTTCTCCCTTTTAAAATATTATTGCTTTCCTACCTGTGATAAAACTAAGCAATTGTTGATTCCAGTGTGTAATAACCCAGTGCATTACAGAGAACTATTCTAGGATTTTCTTGGCTGTAGTCTTTACAAAAGCAGATTACTAGGCCTTCTGTGATAATGTGGAATGTGTTTGCACCATAATCTTTCGGTTACTTGTTGGGCACAAGCCATTTGTACCATTTACATTGTTACTGTTATTGTTGTTGTTGTTTGGTGCCATCTAGTGAAGGATGGCTCACAGAGACCCTATTAACAGACCTGAACCCTGCTCTCTCCTGTGCCACCTTCATCAGATTACACATTTGAGCCCATTGCTTCTGTCATTTTGTCAGTCTGCCTCTCTGGGACTCTTCCTCTCTTTCACTGAACAAATATGATATCCCTTTCCAAGAAATAGCCTCTCCTAGTAACATGTCCAAACTTTGAAAGACAGAGCTTTCTCTTCTTTGCCTCTGAGGGGTACTCTGGCTGCACTTTCTCCAAGACATATATTTGTTTGCTCTTTGGTAGTCCATGGGATACTCAGTACTCATCTGCAGCAACACAACTCAAAGACATCAATTCTTCTATCATCCTTATTCATTGTCATTTGCATTAGACCCTAGTTGGCTAGGTTCAGAGCCATTGTTAATTGAGTCACTGTAGTCGACCAAGTGGCACAGAACAAAAGCAATAATAATGGAACGTTAACGGCCTAGTGGGTAAGGAGCTGCACTGCCCATCCAAAGGCATGTAGTTTGGATCCACCAGCTGCTGTTTGGTTACAAGATGAGCAGTCTCTTCTTGCGTAATTTACAGCCTTTGAAAACCTGTTTGGAGGGTCAACTATGAGTCAGCTCTGACTCAGCAGCACACAACAGAACAACATACGAGACATGGAATATGAGCTTCCCAAACCTATCTTCTTATTTTGGAGATCTCAGGGGGGTTTTAGAGGAGGGTCAAGATAGCACAATTTGAGGCATTTACAGTATTTACTGAAAATTCATTTACAGTCTATTTCCCCAGTCAGAGTCACACCCAAGACTAGTTGACCTGGTTTTATCAGCATTCCAGATGTAGTCAGTGCTATCCACAAGCTGTAAGAAGTTTAGACACCTCATTAGAAAGGAGAATGGTGGGATATTATCTCACATAATTTGAGCATATGAAGAGGAAGGCTTAGGAAAGTAGGACAGTGGACAAGAAGATGACACCTGAAGAGATGCATTCACAAAGTGGCTCCAACCACGGGCTCAAGCACCACAGAGATTGTGAGGATGAGGCCGGGCTTAATTCTGTTGTACATAGGGGTGTTATGAGTCAGAACCAGCTAGACATGTAAACCAGTTACCTTAAACCAGTGCCTTCATAAGTAACTCCCACTTGTGACCACCTTGACCACCCAGAACTGGATGGTGTTAATTTACTGCTATTCAGTCCCACACACAGTACTGTGTGGTGAGGTTCAAAGCTTGGCCTAAAGTGTGGGCAATGACTTAATCATTCCTTATGAATGTGAAAGTTGGGCAAAGCCTTGCTAACCATCCCTGATGACAAGGGCATATTTACAAGTATAATTAAAACCTTCTCACTGTTTTTTGGCAAAGTGAAGGTTGAAAAAAGACTGAATGAAGAAGAAGAAGTGGAAGGGAGCACCTCCCCCCACAGTCCTAGATTCTACTTGTCAAATAAAAAACACTGGGAAACTTTGAGGAGTGCTTTATTCAAAAGAAAAGTCATACACTAGGGAAAACACAAAAACACAGGTCAGCAAGCATCTCAAAGAAGAGGGGAAGATATACTTTTCTTTTATAGAGACGAAAGAAAATAAGGACTCTCTTTCCAAATGAAAGAAAACAAGGATTTTTCTGAATGCAGGTGTGTAGAAGTGGGAAGAGCAGGTAACATCATCAGATAGTAAACCAGAATATTCAATTCTCTGAGAGTAACCTTTAAATAGAGAGCATACTGGTTCAAGTTGAGGAAGGGACTTCAGGAACTTGGGTGAAGAAGAGAAGCTTAAAATTTGGTTAACAATCCTTTTGTTTCTGATCAATGGGCACAAGCCATTGATTTTATCATTGATGAGGCACAGAATGTTAAGTATTAGTGTTAGCCGAGCCCCTGGCATTTTGCAAGTCCCTTCGTCTGCACCTCCAGAGTTGTCACTTCCAGGGCAAAAGATATTCATTGGTTCCACTAACTGGTTCTTTGTTTGAACAGTGAATGGCACAACGGGAGAAGGCCTGTCCCTGAGCATCTTGGAGCGTCGCCAGATTGCAGAAGAGTGGGTGACAAAAGGGAAGAACAAGTAAGTAGCTCAGCCAGGATTAAAACCATCCACCAGCAAGAGCTGTGTCGAGTGAGGCTGTTCTTCATAACTGGGTTTGTGAACATGAGCCCCAAGAAAACTCCCATTTCAGGAGGAAAGCATGATGCTGGTGGTGGCCCCCCTCTATCCTTATAGGTCCCCTCCTGTATCTATAACGCAGCATACTCTTTATGGCCTTTCCTCACTTGGTGGAGGTGAAGAGTCAGCATTCTGTGAACTGCAGAACAGTAACATGTCATGGCATGGTAAAACAAGCAAGATAGTATCCATTGAGTGACCACATTCAAAATCTATAAGCTTTTCCTTAGTGTGGCTGAGTGGTAAGGAATTGAGCTGCCCACACAGAGATACACGGTTTGTATCTACCAGCTGCGCCACATGAGAAGGATAGGCAATCTCCTCCCATGTGATTCACTGCCTCCGAAAACCCACTGAAAGGTCAGTCATGGGCTGTTGCTCCTTTGTAAGCCTGAAGTAGAAGCCATCACTGTGAAGTCTTGAATATCTTGGAGGTCCTTTTTAAAATGTGTTTTCAGCATGTACTCCAATACTCTAAATGCACATGCTAAGTTTCAGTGTCCCCACATAAGTGTTTCCTGGTGTATCCAACAACTTCTCAATGAAATATTATAGACAGAATGAGAGAAGAAAAACTAATAAATGTTAGGAAAACACCAGAAACTGAGATAGGGAAGTAACTGGAGATAGCAAGCCCAGACGGGTTGGAGGGAGCTCAGAAGTGAGCATTGTCACTGATGCCTAGAAGGGGCACCACCACAGCCTGCTGACCAAGGACTGTGAGACCAGATGACCTCTGGTGGAACAGTGGATAAAGCATTCAGCTGTTAACATAACAGTAGCTGACCCTCCAGTGTGTTTTTGGAGGCTATGAAGTCAACAAGAGGAGATTGCCTACCTTTCTCCTGAACAGCAGTTGGTGGATTTGAATTGTTTATCTTTGGGTTGGCAAAGCAACTCCTTATCCACTAGGCCACCAGAGCTCTTTAGTCCGTTACTTGTCCATTTTAAAAGAATAATCATAAACTCTTATCTTACTTTTTTATTAATTTTAATGAAAGTTTAGAGAGCCTTTGGATTTCTATTCATTCATTGTTGTATTTTTCTCCCTGCCTGCCCTATTTCCCCCCCAACCCCCAGTTCACTATTCTCTTTGAAAAGTAAAAGAAAATTCTTTAATTGTTCTATAATTCCTCCCCCCACTACGCAGCCTTCATTCTGGACTCCTGTCATGGCAATAATACCTAATCACATATCCCTTTTAACAGTTTTCTCCTTCATCTGTTTCAAGTATACATAATTTATCCCATCTTTCTCAGTCTCTCCCCAATGCTGATATCAGTCCCGTTTTACAATAGTGGCACTATTCAGTATTTGCCCTGTTGTGACTGAGATATTTCACTCAGCATAATGTCTTCCAGGGTCACCCATTTTGAATAGTATTTCATGAGTTCCTTGTTTTTCAATGTAGCATAGTATTCCATTGTGTATAGCACAGTTTCTCTATCCATTTGTTTGTTGATGGGAACTTAGATTGTTTCCAACCCTTTGCTATTTTGAACAAAGCCATGATAAACATAGGTGTGCATATATCTGCTTGGGTGGCAGTTATGGTTTCTTTGGGGTATATTCCCAGTAGTGGAAATGCTGGGTCAAATGGTATTTCTACTTACAACTTTTTGAGAAAGCACCATACAGCCTTCCATACCATTTTACACTCCCATCAACAGTGAATAGGGTTCCACAACCTCGCAGTATTTGTTGCTTGCTGTTCTGTTAAATTTTGCTATCCTTACTGGGGTGAGATGATATCTCATAGTTGTTGTAATTATCTTACTTTTAGGTAGGCCACTGTAGAGGTTAGCAGTCCAGAGTGTGTTGTTGTTCTTGTTAGGTTCCTTCCAGTCAAGTATGACTCATATCAACCCTATGAACCACAGACCTGAACTCTTTCCTAGTCTGTGCCATCCTCAGCCCGTTGCTGCAGTCACTGTGTCAGTCCATCTCATTAGAGTGTCTTCCTCTCTTTCACTGACCTTCCTTCTTTCCAAACATGCTGTCCCTTTCCAAGGAATAGCCTTTCCTAGCAACATGTCCAAAGTATAAGAGTATAAATGTCAGCTTCTTTGCCTCCAAGGAGCTTTCTGTTGCCCTTGTCCCAAGACCTGTTTATTCTTTTGTCAGTCTGTGGGATATTCTTTACTCTTCTCCAACACTGTAATTCAGAGACATCAATTCTTCTGTCATCCTTACTCATTGTCCAGCTTTCTAATGTGTAACAGGTGATTGAGAAGACTATGGCCTTAATCAGGCTCACCTTAGTCTTCAAACTGACATCATTATTCTTGAGTATTTTTGTAAAGTCCATGACAGTGGGGTTACCCAGCTCAATACATCTCCGGTTTCTTGACTGCTAGTCCCAAGGATGTTGATTGTTATTCCAAGTCAGATGAAATCATTGACAACATCAATCCTTTCTCCATCCTCCAACTCACGATGATTCCATCCACAAGGGAACACAACCCTTCTGGGACCTGTGCTGTCCCCATGAACAGTTTTAGATAGGACCACTGAGGTCTCTAGAATGTTTTTGTTGACTTCTTTTCAGGAATAGATCACTCCAGCTCTTCTAGCTAATTTCTAAAACCAGAATAATGCAATGTTGCCTACCTGTACCCCAATCTGTGCTAAACTTCAAGTGCTGCAAAAGTGTTTTCTCTTTTGCAGGTTGGATCATGTGGTGATTCATGTAGGAGCAATGAGTTTGAAAGAGTCACAAGAACTGGTATGTATGCAGGCTCATCTGGGAGAGACTACTTAAAGGGCCTCTATTTGAATATGGAAGAAATGCATATCATTTTTGGCAAGTCCTAGAGAAGATATAATGTGGGACTTTGGACGGTTCACCATTAACCAACAGGCAAAGGACCATAAAGAAAGGATCATACCTGTAAATATGGCTGCTGCAGTAAAGCTTTGGATATTTGATCAAGGATTGTTGTAGATGTTGCTAAGTTCTCAGGAAAGATGCAGAACCTGGGTCAACCTCTATTTTTTCCTCGGGAAATAGAAGGCAAAGTCATCTTTTGGAAATAAGGGGATAGAAAGAAGGTGGGTAAAGGATTGTCCAGTGATGTTGAAGACCAATGCCATAACACAAAGTAGTTATGTGAGCTCTAGCAGCCTAGTGGGTAAGGAGTGAGCTCCAACGGCCTAATGGGTAAGACAAGCAATTCAAATCTGCCAGCTGTTCCACAGGAGAGGGAGAGAGATAGTCATTCTCCTCTTGTGCAATTTACTGCCACTAAAAACCCACTGGAGGGTTAGCTATGAGTCAGTTGCTACTTGATGGCAATGAGGTAAAATTTTCAGAGCAAGATATTTTTTTCCACTTCAGGGAGCAGGCTGAGATAAACAGTGTGCATTTACTGAATCCCCACTCTGATTTCAGTAAGATGACTTGTCAGGACACAAGGGAGAATGAGACCTGATCCTTGCCTTCATAAGCTAGTAGGATGTGGTTATTGTTGTGTGCCATCAAGTTGGAACTGAACCATAGCTGACCCCCCAGGGGGTGTTCAGAGACAAGAAGTCACACAGGAAAGGCTTGTCCATCCTTCTCCCATAAATCAGCTGGTGGATTTGAACCATGTGTTTTTGGGATTCCATCACAGCTTCTTACCACTAGGCCACCAGAGCTTCCTAGTGGGAGAATGTTGTTGTTTTTGTTGTGTATTGTTGAGTCAGAACTGATCCATAGCTGATCCTCCAGCGGGTTTTCAGAGGCAGTTAATCACAGGGGAAGAGATTGAGATTGCTCATCTTTCTCCCATGGAGCAGCTGGTAGATTTGAAACGTGTGCCTTCGGCACTTAATCACCATAAATAACTCACTTTCTTATGAAGTAGGTGCTCCAAGAAGGCTTAGGTGCTCCAAGTCTTAGAGCACCTCATAGGTGCTTTATGTGGATTTGAAAAAGAAATTCTTTTGAGGGCTCAGCAGGAGGCAATTTACATTTTTTACAGAAGAGAGTTGAGAAGAAAAAAAGCATCAGAGAATTGATGCAATATACCTTCTGTGATGTGTATCATTTTTTTCCTGCTCAATCTTTCCCAACTGTATATGCTTCTCTTTAATATAAAATTTAAAATATGGCTCTCTGTGAGCAGTAAAGACAGCCACCCAGTACAATGATCAATAGGAGAGAAATCCTACCTGCAAATTTTTCTATTAACAGAGAACTTCTCAAAATAAACTGCTTAGCTGTGCCACCCATATTTCAATTATCATCAGGGTCACCCATTGTTTCTGGCTGAAAAAGTCCAGAGAAGAACGAGATTATGTGCATAGCTCACCTCCACTCTCGAGCTCCACGCTGAAACCTGGAGCTCTCTTGATGATGCCATTTGTCACTAAATTTGATTCATTTTCTCTACTTCTTAGCTGTGTGTCAGTTTGGAAATTTGAATAGGTGACTTTGATAAACAACTTTTAATATGGGCTGCTTTCTTCTTTTCAAGGCCAAACATGCAGCAGACATAGGAGCTGATGGCATTGCTGTCATCGCGCCTTTCTTTCTCAAGCCGTGGAACAAAGGTAAGCAGAGAAGTCTTTAGTTTCCTAAGGCTGCCATAACAAAACGACCACAAGATGAGTGGCTTTAAGAGCTGAGTTTTGTTTTACTGCAGTTCTGGAAGCTAGAAGTAAAATCAGGGCCATCTGATTCTATCAGGGCTTGGATGGAAGGACTATTCCATGCCTCTCTCTTTGTTGCTGGTGACTGCAGGCATTCCTTGGTGTTGGTTGCCCCTGTTTTATCACATGGTGTCTTCCTCATGGGGATGGCACCTTGTAGGCTAGAAGATCTATGAGGTCCACAGCTCAGGGAGAGGAGATGGTGTGACTGTGAAAGACAACAAGTTGACAGCACTGGAAACCAAAGTATCTGGTAGTGGCACCATTGAAGAAGCCATGGAGTCTTAAACATAGACACTTCTCCTCACCAGTTAGTGCTGAGAGTGAGGGGTGTGTGCTTGAGCTCAGAACGCACACTTATTATTTTAAAAAAACTTTAATTAAAAAAAACATTTTTCATAAATCCCAAAGAACTTCATATATTTTGTATATATTGCCTGTCATAAACCCCACAATACAAGATAATGGTCCAATAAATGAAAATTGAGGATCTCCTTTCCATGCAGGATACTACAAGCTGGTGGTGGTTGTTGATGGCCTTTGAGTCGAGCATGACTCATAGTGACCCAATGAAAAAAAGGCCTGAAGCCCCTCTACAACTATCGACATTTATCAAAGTTCATAGAGTGTCAGGAGGCATGTTGTTTAGGAAGTGGAACAACCATCTTTCACATAATTTTTTTAAATTGGATTTCCAGTTTTTATTTATTTATTTTTATTATTTGTGTGTGTGTGTGTGTGTGTGTGTGTGTGTGTGTGTGTGTCTGTGTGTGTCTGTGTGTGTCTGTGTGTGTCTGTGTGTGTGTGTGTACCATCAAATCAGATTTGACTGGTACAGGAGGAGATTGTTCCTCCTTTTCCAGCAAAGCATCTGGTGGATTTGAACCGCACACCTCTGGGATTGCAGTGCAGCGTCTTGCCACTAGGCCACCAGAGCTCGCCTTTCACATAATTTTTAAACATGTTATATGAATACTTTCTCCAAAAGAGAAACAAAGGAAAAATAATGATTATACACAGTTCACACCTAAGTATTTGTTACAGACCTAGGTACTATCATAGTGTGCATATGGAATAATAAATTTTTCCCTCTTGCTCCCCACTGCCATTCATTTATAAGCAACACTGCTGGGTTTATTTGACATCTGGTAATTGTGCATTTGAAATTCATACAATAGCATACAGGAAATCTCAATTCTTCAGTAAACTAGTGTGAGCAATCTTTTAATGTATCTGAATTTCTTGCAAAGGAAGAAAGTACCAAATCCTGGTTGAGTAAGTGTGAAGTATGTCACTGCTCTTATAACGTCCCTCTTTAAGTACTCATTGGTTTTGGTGAAGAAATTTCTCAGTTTTGCTCTTGCTGCCCTGCTTGTAATTCAAACTTCACAAATCACCCATAATTCCTCTGGAGTTTCTTTCTGATAGAATGAGAAATCTTGCCTTGCAGTGGAGAAACTTTTGATTTTCACAAAAAGGTGATCATTTTTTTTCTCTTAATGTGTAGGAATATTTGTACCAATTTTGTAAGTGATCATCTTAATAAAAAAAGAGCAGTCTTTGGTGGTCTAGTGGTAAAGAGCTGCACTGCAACCCAAAGGCTGCCCTTTGAATTCACCAGCTGCTCTGCAGCAGAAGGAGCGACAATCTCCCCTCACGCTTTGCCTCTGAAAACCTGCTGGAGAGTTAGTTATGAGTCAGTTCTGACTTGATGGTTGCTGTTATGTGCCATCAATGCACTTGTGACTCATAACAACCCTATATACAACAGCTCTGAACCCTGCTCTGTCTTGAGCATTGTTGTTGTTAAATGCTGTTGAGTCACAGATGACTCATAGTGACTTTATGAACGAAAAGTCCTGGTAGTACCCTTTGACACTAAGAGATTGTTGTTGTGTGGTTTTATGCGCCATTAAGTCACCTGCGACTCATAATGACCCTAGTTCTGAAATCTGCAGACTCCGTGGTGAATAACGATAAACCCAAAGACAGATGGTTTGAATCTGCCAGCTGCTCCTCAGGAGAAGGAGGAGCAATCAACTGTCATGGGATTCATTGCCTCTGAAAACCTGTTGGAGGGTTTTCAGTCGCAGCTTGATGGTACACTGCCACACATTAAAAGAAGATTTTGAATAAGATAAGATGTAAAAAAGCACTGCAGTTCCAGTGTCAGCTGGAAAGCACAGTCAAGAGTTTTCGGTTTCTGAGAATGACAGTTACATTTCATTACACAATATGCTGTGTTGTTTTTTGGGTTTTCAGTCTTGTGACCATTTGAGCCACTGCCTTACACTTACTAACACCGTGATTTTTCCTCCCTCCCACCTTTCAGAGGCCCTGGTTAGTTTCCTAAAGGAAGTGGCGGCAGTGGCTCCTACACTGCCATTTTATTACTACCACATTCCTGCCTTGACTGGGGTGAAGAGTAAGTACTGGGTTTTTTGATGGTCTATCCCCTTACCATTTTTACATAATTTCTGCAAGTAATCCCCAATGCACCCAACATTTCTTCCCGGCACAAAATCATAGCACCTTTGACTAACGGCTCCAGTTGCCTGAAAGTAAAACACTATAATATTCCAGTCCTCTGTACATAGATTAGCGATTTACACCAAATTGTGATGAAAGGCGTAAAGTAAAAGTTGACACCTAAGCTAAAATCACACACAGCTACCACATCAGCCCTGGGTTGGACTCGCTCTCTCTCCCTCTCTCTCCCTTTCCCTCTCCCTCCCTCCTTCCTTCCTTCCCTCCCTCTCTCCTCCACCTTTCTCTCCTACTTTCTCACACAAACACACTCTTTTCACTGGAATACCTCTTGTGGGAAAGGCTGAGACTGTGACTATCTTGTACTCTACTATATTCTCACTGCCTGGCAGGTTACTCTCATCTCTGAATTTAATTCTGGAGTCTTTTCTTCCCCTAAATCATTGCTGTACTTTCTCTAAGAAGGAGTGCTGTAATTATTGCATTTTCTTAGGAGATTAGGTTTCAAATCTCATTTAACTTTCTTAAAAGAAAAAAAAACACACAACACTAAAACCAGAGCTGCTTTATAAATACCCACCTCTTGCTTTCAAGAGAAATGAAACGTTATGATCATAATTTGGCAGACATGCATCAACTACCAACTGGGGAATAGTCATGATTGCAGTCCACATCCACAGCCGTGGTGGCGATGGAGAGATGTGTGTTCCATAAGGTGTTAGCTGATCTTGTCTCCAGGTGTGCAGGTTGATGATTTATCTGTTTTGCACAGTTCGAGCTGAGGAATTGTTGGATGGAATTCAAGATAAGATCCCCACCTTTCAAGGGCTGAAATTCAGTGACACAGATCTCTTAGACTTCGGGCAGTGTATTGATCAGAATCACCAGCGGCAGTTTGCATTCCTTTTTGGAGTAGATGAGGTAAGTCACCCCTGACACATCAGCAGGTTAGGTTTTTTCCAAAAGGAAGCAAACTGTTTGATAAAAGTGAACATTTTCTTTTTGTCTCTTTCTGATTAGCAATTGTTGAGTGCTCTGGTGATGGGAGCGACTGGAGCAGTGGGCAGGTAAGTGTGACTTGTCTTTCCAATTAGTTGTGACTGGAAAGCCCCTCCATAAAGACAGTCATCACATCCAAGTTATAATTCTTGCATGTTGTTGTTACCTGTCACTGAATTGTGATTCTGTGTATAAGAGAACAAGTCAGTTCTAACTCATGCCAGCTCCTTGTGTGCCAGAATTAAACTGTGCTCCATAGAGTTTTAAATGACTAGGTTATGGGTAGTAAACACCAGGCCTTTCTTTCAAGGTGCCTGAGCACCACACAGATACTCCTCACTATGCTGATGTAGGGAGCCTAGTAGTACCCACAGTTCTTACCTAGTATTATGCCTCTGGGAGTTCTTTGAGGCAAGTGTTTGACTTATTTGCTCCTTAGCATTAAATTAATGAACCTCTGATTTTTCTGATTTTTGCCAGTACCTATAACTACCTGGGGAAGAAGACAAACCAGATGTTAGAAGCTTTTGAAAAGAAGGACTATTCTTCTGCTCTGAATCATCAGGTACACTTTTTTTTTCTTCTGTTCACAAATATTTGAACCTTTTTTATTTCTTTCTAAAGAATCTTTATCCTTCTCTCTCATTAACATTTCTATAACCTGCACTCTTTTCTTGCCAAGCAGCACCTCTATTTTTCCTCTGTTTCTGTGTCTCATTTGATTGTATATGCTCCTGGTGTGTCCAATCAGGACAGGCCTGACTTCCCCTCTGATCTTATTTGTACTATATGTTAAAAGTCCTTTTTACTATTCATAAAATAATAGACTGGGTTTTGGGAAAATGACCAGACCCTGTCCACTCTAGCACTCACAGATTAGGCAGAAGCACTGAAACTTGGAATGCACAGAGAATGCTTGATTTAGGGTCAGAACAGGTCAGTCCTCTTTGCCCTGGAAGGATGCTGAGAACTATAAACATCCACAGGCAAAAAACGGAAGTGTAGTGGGTCAAAGGAGGCAATGACTTAGAAACAGGCAGAGGAAAGCTGTGGGTGCTGATGGGTTATGCAACTGAGGGGATTGATGATGTCTGCCTTTACTGTTATGCAGAAGCCAGTTTAGCTTTCCAATGAAAGAAGGATATCACTGAAGGGTAGAACTAGTTTCAGCGTTGGGGTAGTGCCTGTATGTTGTATAAATGAAATGGAGCAGAAATAAGCAGGGTAAGTGCCAGAAGAGGATTGTCAGGGGCCTAAAGGCACAGGGATTTTCAGTATAGTCAAGTGGTAGGAAACCTGGTGGCATGATCCAAAGCATGTCATGTGGCTAACCAAAAAGCCGCATGTCTCCATCAGCTGAACCCATCAGCTGTTCTGCAGAAGGATGGACGGTCGGTCTGATTCAGAGGCAGTGAGTTGAGTTGTTGTTGTTAAAAGTGGCTGCCAGGAGGATCCCAAGAACAGACACAGGATCAGCGCAGGTGGTTTGGTCCCACAAAGGTCAGAGGAAGGACCTATGTGAACAAGAGAGGCTGTCACGGGGAAGTCACTAGGATTACAGAGCAGAAGTGCAGAGTATATTAAAAGTTAGAGGAAGAGGCCTGGGATCTAGAGCAGTAACCAGCTGTGAGTAATGTATTTCTACCTTCTGGTGACCTAGTTGTGGTAACAAGCTGCCCTGCAATCTCAAAGGCACACAGTTGTCATTGGAAGGTACTCATAGCTGATCTTCCAGTGGGTTTTCAGGAGTCAGTTGCACGGGGAGAAATTACTCATCCTTCTCTCGTGGAGGAGCTGCCTTTGGGTTTCGAACTCCATACCCTTGGGATTCTTACCACTAGTCAAGTCTAACCAACCCTGCTTAGGCTGAGAAAAATTATAGAGTGAGATGGATTGACAGACACAGTAACAGGGGTAATAAGGGTCTGTGTGTCAGAGGAGTGAGATTGGCACAGGATAGGGTAGGGTTCAGAGCTGTTGTGCACAGAACTGCTGGAAGTCACAGCCTACTCACATAGCAACAGCCTGAGGCAGAGCTTTCAGTCAAGTAAAGCATACACGTTACAAGGGAAAGTTTTCTTTTATTCATTCTCATAGATGACACCTGTTAAATTCACAAGTAAAATGACATGTAGATAGCTATTCCTTGCAGTATTGTTTATAATAGCAAAATAAGGAAACAGCCCAAATATCGACAAATAGGAAAATTGTTGACTTTATTACTTGAATTGTACAATGCAATTCAGTACAGTTCTTTAGAGCAGTAAGATAGCATTGGGTGTGCTGCTGTGGAATGATACAGATGACATTAAGTGGATTTTAAAAAACAGCAAGTACAGAGTTAAAGCAATATTGAGTTGCAGTGGACCTATATACACATGTTTTCCATTTCTGGGTATTGAAATTTAATTCTGCATTATTATTAATAAATATACAATTGGTTCTAACAGCATAATGTATGGCACAGCTTGATAAGAACTTTCTCAGCATAAAGTTAAAATATGTCCCTGAATGAGATGGATGGGACTTAAAAAAAAACCCACAATTAGTTAATTCATAGTTGATTATTCCAAAATTATGAGATTTGCCAAACTTTAGCATAAAATTTAGGAGAAAGAAGTGCCAAGAAAATCTATTCACATAAAAGAATGTTTGCCATAGCAATGTCACTCAATTCTTTTGACTACTTTGAGTCATATGCCAAAAATCACAGAATGCTTGATAATTTAAAGATTTTCAGGTAACAATCTGAATAGCAACAGTGAAAGTAATGTTGGAAGGTCTTAAAACCCTCCAGTTTTCAAGAGAACTTCTTGCCCATTCATTAAAGAAATTACTTTTCTCCTGTCTTTGCTTCTTCACTTGGAACCCCAAAGGCGTACCCTGATAATGATGTCAGAGGTTTGCCTTTGTTTTTTCAGCAGTTGTTGAAGGATGACTATAAAAGGTCAATAAAGCAGTATTACCTTCTACTAAATAGATTTCAGCTCTGTCTTATTGGGTTTTTATTTTTCCTCCCAACTCTGATAGAGCTTCAGAAAATAGAGTTATGCAAAATTTTTCCTTTGGGGTTTTTATCATTTGGTCTCTGAGGATTTTGACTGTGGGGTTTCTTCCTAATTATCACAGTTCATTAATACTGACTATAAATTTGTTTTTCTTTCTAGTTTTGTATCCAGAGATTTATAAACTTTGTGATCAAATTGGGTAAGTGTTCCCCAGTTCAGTAGTATAAAGGAGATGGAGTGCCATCATTCTTTGTAAGAAATCCAATAAGAATGCTTATTTGGATGATAACATAATTATGATACAAACAAAAGAGGGGAAATATGGGAAGCCAATACTAAATATTTCTGATAAACTGAATGCTATTTAAATTAAAAAGCATTTAAAAAAAACACAAAACTTAAAAAAAAGGGGAGGGGGAAAGAAATTCAATAAGAACACTTTTGATACTCTGTTACAGGCAGAGTTTTATTTCCAACACAAACTTAGCCAACCTTGCAAAATAATGATGTAAACCTAGACAGGAAGTCTTTGGCACCCCTCTGGAATATCACCTCTCTGGTTTAGCACATGTTTTTTTGAATGAAAGTTTATAATGTTAACTCAAGTTAACCTTGAGTGAACAGTTACATTACATGTTGGTTTTTCATTCAATTGTTCATGAGTGTTTTGGTTTACAACATTAATTACAATTGGTTAATAGAATTAATTACAGTATCTAAGCAAACTCTTATTGTGCACTGCTTTTCCATTCCCAGCACGTGTTTTATCACCTCTTTCCTGCCCTTCAGCCCCCCTCCCTTTAGTTGCCTCTGCTCATTAATATTCTAGTAACACACTGTGCCTGATTTCAGCCTTAGCACTTAAAGGAAGGCACTCTGAATGAAGATCTTACTCAATTGTGAATGACTGACAGGCCTCCCAAGGGCATTTGTCATTTCCAAAGATTTTATGAACACAAATAAGCTTAAACTATTAGAAGTTTGGATAATAATGACAGGGTGAAAATTGAGGGAACTGTAGAACATTTTAATAGAAGAAATACTGTAGTGTTTTACATCTTGGGAAAAAACAAAGGGTAAATGCCACCATTTGCTCCACTTCTGCAAGAGATTGACCCTTCCTGAAAGCATGAGTCAAGCAGGAATGTCTGAAGTGGTCTTGGCAGACCTCCAGCCTCTTTTCTTCCTCTTCCTGGCAATTCCTTCTTCCTCCAACCACTGCTACACCCCCCATTCCTTTGGGTTCTCTTTAGTAGCTCTTTCAAGCCCATTTGCATTAACACTTTCATGGGTTTTATCATTTATATGCCACCAGTACTATCAATTACTTAAAATTATTCCTTCCTAAGCAACACTTTCCACAACATCGTAAGTTTGTAACTGATACGTGTTTCTAAGGTGCGTTAAAATAGTGATGTTTATGCATCAATGTGACTGTATGGACATGTACGTCTTCCTCACTGATCAACAATCTTGTTATCCAACATTTCATATTTACACTAGTAAAAAGTCTACTATCTAATTACTTTGCACTTTGTTGACACACAAATGATAGTAACAAATGCTCAAGTCTGAAACAAAAATAGCCCAGACGAACAGTTATGGTTGTATTCAATTGACTGGGCCATAATCCTCAGTGGTTTGACATCATGGAATAGTGAAGTCATCCTTCATTTTGTGATCTGAGCTAATCTGATCATTCTCTATTCTCACAGAACAACTTGGTCTTAAAGTAATGAATGAATGTTGTTGTTATATGCTGTCGAGTTGCCTTCAACTCCAAGCGTCTCTGTGTACAATAATTCTGAACCTGCCCTATTTTGAGCCAATCTCATTGTCTCCAACACACCTAATCACTTACCCCAGTCACTGAGTCAATCCATCTCATCAGGGGTCTTCCTCTCCTGCTCTCTCTGGCCCTCCACCCTTCCAAGCATGATGCTGTTGAGTTGTGTGCTGTCGAGTCAGAACCTATCCATAGCTGACCCGCCAGGAGGGTTTCAGAGGCAGTTAATCACATGGGAGGAGATTGCCCATCCTTCTCCGGCAGAGCTGGTAGATTTGAATTGTGTGTGCCTTTGGGATTGTGCACAGCTTCTTGCCACGAAGCCACCAGAGCTCCATAAGCCTGATGTATTCATACATAAGTAAGCACATAGAGGGCACTGTTAGAGCCTCTTACATGTACCCAGAGACCTTGAGGGATTGGGTTTCTGCGTTTGAGGCTTAGGACCATGCATACTCTCATGGAGCATCTCAGACAATTGGCATTTTATAAATCATAAAATTATATTCTACATTTTTGTTTGGTTACTCCGGAGATGAAAAGACAAGGAAAAATGGGGTTGCCTTCATAGTAAAAAAAGTAATTTCTAGATCCATCTTGAAGTACAACATCG